TGTTTCCTGAAACAAACCCAGCACTCGCATATATATAGTATGATTAGGCAGCACTGTTTATACTTGACTGCCTGGAGCAACCATGGGTTCAGAAAGCAATGCAACAAAGATTTGCATTTTTTTAAAGGAGATTTTAGGTATTTGGTCTCATTTGAGGTTGGGATCGAGGGCTGTGAAACTCTCAGTGGGAAACTTTGTGCTGTGTCTTTTCTTTCCTTCTTTTTCCCATGGAGAGAAAAGGGCTCTTGGGAAGTCGACTCAGGTTTAGTGCAGATATTTTCTGCCCCCGCTTTCCTCTTCATATATACTATTGTGTTCTGTTTCCGTGAATTCACTGTGTAGTGAGCTCATTATGTGAGAAGCAAATCTTAGTGCCTCATCTGTGTTGTGTTTCCAAATGGTTGTAGCACAGAGAAGGTCCAAACGCCTTTATATGCTTTGTTGCTTGGATTTGGGCCAAAAAATGAGCTGAGCCATAAATATTTGTATTTTTAAGACAGTCCTGCTGTCATTAGTTCTCCTGTCCCCTGTTTGAGGCCAAAGTGTAGCTGCCTTTGTGCAGTCTAAGATGGGAACCCCTCCTCTACCTGACTTCTCCCAGTTGGTGTCCAACTGCAACCCAGTAGACGTGAGCACAGGGGCTGAGCAGGGACCCTCACCTTTGGCTGCCCACTACACTGTTTAGCATCCTGCCTCCATCTCGTGGGCTTTGGGTTCATCAGTGATGAACTAAAATTGCTACAGGAACGATTATTATAGGACTGAAACACTGTCTGTTTATATTTCTCAGATATTCTATGTGGCCTCTTTCCTATACACTGCCAACTACACCTGGCATCTGTACATGGACCTCAAGGTGAAATACAACCAGAACCTTTTCAGGATGCCCCCCCAGGTGAGTAGGACTGAAGTGCAACAACCTTTGGCTACCAAGGTCTAACTGTGGGGTTGTGGTGGGGTTTAGGAGGTGCACACTTAACAGTGTATCTCACCATAAGGGATTTGAAGACCCTTCTGCCCCAGCGCTGTATGAATTGACATATCTTGCCCACTGAGGTCAGCAGAGTTACTGCTGGGTCTGCTTCGGTGGAAGATTAGGCTTGTAAAACTAAAGCAGACAAAGGCCAGTGGCAATGTACAGCTCAGAGCAGAGAGCTCAGGACTGGGTATTGGTGAAGTTCTTCTGCAGTTAGAAGAACAACAATTTGCACCAACTGAGCCATTGGTTGCTGTCACTGCCTTCTGCCAGTGCACAGCAGAGGGGACAGGAAAGCAGAGGGTGCCTGGACAGCCTGGAACTGAGACCTGACAATGTCTATCCTCCCCAGGTGTCATACAGTGTTCAAGAGCATCAGTCAGGTATTGTAAGAATTCGAGATAGGTGTGACGGAAGTAAGCTACTGATAAAAAGACCGTTTGGCTCTGGGAACAGTGGCCAGTCCTCACTTCATCATCGCTGGCCTTTACAAAAGCCCTTTGGGGAACCGGTGTAATCGCTGGGAACCGAGGAACAAGGACATACTACTCAGAAAAATACTCCCTGCGTTGCAGGCTAAACAAACACTTCACGTTACCGCATGACCAAAATCTCCCCTTGCAGTTGTTTCATTCCTCACACCTGGCTAAACAGGGAGGCACCATCATTGCTGTAACCAGTGTGTTGCTCCCGTATTGCTGCAAGACAACAGATTCCTTATCCAGCTCTTCCCATTGAACCCATCAGCCCCATTTCCTTACACAGCCTTTCTCTTTCCCAGATATTTGCCATGTGCAGCAAACCTGGTATCCCAGGTATTCCATGCGTTGTTTCGGGAGCAGCAGGCTGGACATATCAATCTATATTTCAGTTGCTCTTGTCCAGAGGGTTTGGACCTGTAGGACTGGTTTCCTTCTTCCTGGTCCACCATTCAAATCCACCTGTAGGATTGGTTTCCTTCTTCCTGGTCCACCATTCAAAACACCATGAATATTGCCCTACATCTTATGGTACCTACCATAAGCTCCCCACCACTACAGCTGTGCCCACGTTGTGTTGTCGTAGCTAGAGTGTGGATTCCAGCTGCCAAAGTACATTTCCTGGTGAACAGAGACCAGGACACTCCAAATTGCCTGCATTTCTTCGTCAGAACATGAAGTTTCTAAGGAACAGGGCCAGGTTAAGTGAATGAACAGTACAAAAAATGAGTAAGTTACACCAGAGAGCTTATCAAGTGTCTGCTCCTTGTTCAGTTCCAAATTCCCTTCCCAAATCCTCTAGTCTTGAAGGAGAACAAGCCAATTATCAGGTGAAAGCATTGGTTGTTTCTGTTGCAAACCAGTAGTGGCTGAACGTGGGAGTATTGATTCAGTGCAAAGTTGAAACCAACGTTTGTACTCAGTCTGGGGGTTAATCATCATTTGAAGAACCCTCAGGTGCTGAAGTGCTCCCTCGGAGCCAGTTCCTCCAAACCAGTGGCTGTATGGAAGCGTTCATTTAATTAAGCCCTTTGGACTTTGCAGGTTGTAGATTATGCAAGTTGCATTGGCCGAATAGCAACGATCTTGTCCAGGTAAGATTTAATTCTCTCTGGCAGAATTATGTAGTTTTGGTAAAGACTAGTGTGCTGATCTCTGCTTCCTACTTATTCTGAAGCAAGTTTTACTAAAACCTGTGTTTGCCAGGTAGCTCATCAGGAAGAGGAGAGTGACCTAATGAACTCAGAGCAAGAGGCTCTGGATGTGAGGGCCTTTCTCTGACCAAGTTAGTTATAACTGTATTAACTATATATAGTTTTTCAGAAAGTGCTCCCTTTACCAGTGTATTGCCTGCATGAATGAAAGTGCAGAAGTCAGTAAAGCTGATAAAATACTCCTCCAGAGCAGTGTCAATAAAAACTATTTTTAAGTCCTTTGTAGTGATGAGAGAAAAACCAAGTAGTGTTTGGTTGGGGATGGGGACAGTGCAATGCAGTAACTAATAACTGTGCTGTTGTCCTTTCTCCTCTTAGCCTGATCCCTTTCCTTCTCATGGTGCCTGTGTTTTGCCTGGGCAACAGCAGTAATTGCTACCAGAACTTCAGCCAGAAGCACGGGTGAGCTTCACACACCTCTGAAACAGCCCCACTGCTTATGAGTCATGTCAGGAGCTCAGGCTGTTCCTGTTCTCCCCACAGATGTCTCTTGATGCACACGGAAATCGCCATGCCCACCAACGAGCCGCAAACCCTGAGTGGCTCTGTTTGCCGTGCGATGCATTTCTATGGCATTGGGATCTTCCTCATTTCCTTTCTGATCAGCTTCATAGCCATTTTGGTAAGAGATGTAGTCCTTGCACACTAGTCGTTGCGTCCAGATGATCAATGTGAGAAGATTTTCCCCTTTTCATTCTTTACAAATTTGCTTGGATGGTGCCAGAGGCCAGGCAATGTCAGGGGAAGAACTGTGGGGTGCTGCTTCCCTTTTGGGAGAGGGGTCAGGGAGAGAAAATACCATTGTGCCGCCATAGAAATCCACCTGGAGTCCTGTGTTCTGTCAGCCCACCCCAAAAAGGATTTAGCAGGCTCAGAGCATGGCTGCAGAGATCACTACTGCATGGGTCAAAAAGGTCCCAAATCAGTTCAGAGTCTTCAGTTGAGAAAAGGTCACGTACAAAGCAATGGCTCTCCCCCAGGAAGCACACTGTTGCACGGAAAGGTTTGATAGATAGAAATGGGATACTCTGTCCTAGATGAAGCCAGATCAGAGCATGAGCACAAAGTACTAACAATGGTGTATGCTTGTTCTTTTTCAGGTTATACTCAGTCAAGCCCGAGGCTTGTACAAAAGGTTTGTAAACTCCACAGGATTCCTGGGGGATCAGCAGTGGGCCATGATTAAGATGGTAGAACAACGAGTGGTTTTTTACCCCATCGCATTCTTCTGCTGCTGGGCCCCAGGTTAGCAGAGAGCTCAGTTACTCTCACAATGTTCCCCTAGAACAGAGTGCCTGGCAATGAAACTCAGAAGAGGTGGGATTAAAGCAGTACCTTCTTGTCCATCCCTTTTCACAGCTGTCCTCCTTGGAATACTGAAGCTGACTGTTTCAACCAACAGCAAAATCTACATGGCTCTTCTAATTCTACAGGTAAGTGTCTTCCTCTGTGATCTCCTGTGTTTTGTCTTTTCTGCTTGAACCAGAAAACGAGTTCTAATCTCTGTCAGACAAGGCATGTTTGTAGCCACAAAGATCGTAAGTCTGATTGGTTTATGCTTTTGGTTGGCAAAGATCTTCGTTTCGTTGTTAGTTGTTTTATGATCTTCACAGGCTTGAAAAGGTCTCGGTAACCAAAATCACAGCATCGTGGTAACTGTAGAAACTAGGACTAGAAAGGATCCCCAGAAATCAGTTAGTTTTTTCCCCTTTCTATGAAAGTCTCCAAATGCAATTCCTCCACAACACTTGTCCAGCTCCTTGCTGTGCCTTGAGGCAGCATTTAGCAAAGATTATTCAAATAACTGCAAGATTCCTCTGTCACAGGGGAATGCAGATAGATAAAATCATGCTGGAAGTGGGAGGCTTGGCATAACACGTTGGGTTTGACAGCTTGGCATGTCAGGGAGCCATCCTGGCTGTCACGAGAGCCCCAATCTCCCACTCTGGTCTCTCCCAGGCTCTGACAGCAGCTTCCCAGGGGCTTCTGAACTGCATCGTCTACGGCTGGACGCAGCACGTCTTCCTCTCCCTCAAACGCAACGCCTGCCGAGATGTCGACACTCAGACTCCTCTTCTACGCTCCCAGAAGAAGTTCTACTCCAGCACGCTCCCTGCCAGCCCACCAGATGCAGAGGGCTCCACGTCCACCCTGCTCTGATGAATCCCCTGCACCAAAGGAGAACATGCAGCATCCTAACGAGCCCTCGTCGTGTTTTAGCAGCATCAGCCAGACCCAGTAGTGGGCTGTCTGCTGTGAGACTGTCTTGCCAGCAGCAAAGTTAGCCGTAGTGCTGGAGGAGCCTGAGCAGATTGGTTGGAAACCAGACACTTCAGTGAAGATAGTTATTTATTTCACAGGTTTGTATGGACTGTAAATGGATTCTCTAAATGTGGTAAATCTTTAGTACAGACTTTCTCCGTATGGAAATGTCTGTAGAAATGCAGCAAATTATATGTAACAGCTCAGAGATCTGGTACAGCTCGTTTGAGGGTAGGTGGTCAAAGGTTGTTTTAATTCTCTAAGTGTTTGCCATTACAAATTAACAGTAAAGCAAAGGTTAATATTTTTCAATCTCTGACTTTTAATTTACTGTAAAAAATAAGAACATATACCACGCTAATAGCCAACTGCAAGGAATGACAAATTGCAAAGTAGCTTAAAAAAAATCTGCACTCACTTCTGTGCGTCGACTTTTTGCACATTTCCCTTCAGAAAAATAAGCTTCTTCAACCTCATGGTCGAAGCAGATGGAGCATCTCTCATGAACCAGGTGAGCAGGACTTTACATAAATCTGTTTGTACTCTTCTAGGTGGGCAAGTGAATTATTTACTAAGGTGCCACTGTTCTATAGGAACAAATCTTTAGCTGAGTTGAAAACAACTCTCTCACTTTTGCACTCTATTTTCTAACAGTTTCACTTTTTGGGTCCAACCCAAATTTATTTACATAGTAGGTAACACAAGAAGAGGAAATACTCAAGCTTTGTGTAATTAACTTTCATACAGTTTACACAGTTACATTCTGTAAATCCCTTTGTGAAAAATCTCCTGGGACAAGCAGTCCACCTTCGGGGTAAAAATAATCACAAAGCTTATGAAATCTCTCCGTATGTGTGAGACAACACTCAACTGATAACCAGGGTGGCAGATGCTACCTACATATGCCAGCCCAACAATTAGTCCAAAGTCCATGTAAATAAATGTGCAATGTCGTATTCCATCATCTGAGAAAGATCCCTTTTTCCCCAGTCGTTAAATTTTTTAAGAACTTTTTCTATATCCTGACTCTACCTGATGAAGTTGCTGTATATCCAGGTCTCCAGCCCAATCAGGGAGATGTGAATCTTCAGAGGATAGCAGTATGTTTTGGATAAATTGATCGCGTCTGTAGCCAGAACATGTATGTATATGTATGTTTATTTTTTTTTGTAAGTTATATGCCCATACTACCGAAGTTCTGTTATTTTCTCTGGAGACTCCTGCTGTAAACACCACCCACGGGGCATCCATCAGTTGGTGGTTACCCCGCACACCTGGCCTGTGCCAGAGGGATGGCAGACACAGCTCGTTACACACAGAAAAAACACATTTCATACACACGTTGAGCACTGGCAGCAGCAACCTCTGCAGCTCTGAATTTATCATTAACCAGCTCTGCCTGGAGGTGAGCAACAGCCCGTTCCAGTGGGGAAAATTTCCTCTTCTAGCACAAAGCAATCCTGCTCCCCAGCGTTTCGGCTGCTTCCTCAGGATGTGCTGAAGTGATTTTATTTTTTTTTAATTTTTTTTTGCACCGTCCCTGCGCCTGCTGCTCCCAGCTTGCACTGACACCTCCACAGCCGCCTGGCTTTTTTGTCAAGCTCAGCCTGACGGGGATCGGATGCTGCTGACAGCTTTACCTGCTCAAAGCCTTCCTTGAAAGCTCCTGTCCAAACGATCCTGCCAGCTTTCTGCTTTCCACAGAGGCTACTGATGTGAGCAGTAATGATATTTTTCCCCCCCCACTTCTTTCCTTTCAGATATATTCCACATCTTTTTCTCCTGTAATCAAGCCTCAGAGCTCTTTTTCTCCCTCCTCCTGTCTCCTGCATAACACCACCTGATGTTCTCAGCAGCTCACGTTTGTTCATGGGCTGTGGTGACTGGATGGACTTGAAGGTGGGACTCTGGGACCCCAGCACCAGAGGAGGTGGCCATAGGGTGTGGGGACAAAGTTCTATACAGTGGTGTGGACAGTTTGCACCCCTTCCATAGTAGAAGTTCTGTGACCCACCTTTGCTCAGAGGGAAGTGCAGGTGTCCTTTGGGGAGTGGGGGATTAGTGGAGAGGGGGACTCGTTGCTGTAGCCCCCCCACACTCTGGGCTGAGAGTTGGCCACTGCTCTTGCCTTGCAAAAGGCTCTGCCTCAGTCCTCCCAGGAGCCTCCTTGCTCAGTCTGTGTCTGTCAGGGTAAATCAGCAGGCAGATTTTAAATTAACCAGAGCGCCTCGGTCATTTTTGTCATTGACTTTTTTTTCGCCTATGGAGCAAGGTCAAGCGAAACAATTTAATTTTGCTATTTTCTATTTGCTATTCTATTCCATCCTACAAAATAAAAATGAGGTCCCCTAGCTCTATGCTTGCATCTGGATCAGTTTGAAATGTCTGGTCTCTGGAGTCTGAGTCTAGTGACTGAGTCCAGCTTTCCATTGCTGCCACTTGAAGTCCTACACAGAAGTGGTTTCGTACTCAGCTGGTTTTGAGATGTCTTCTTCTGTCTGGTCCTTCGCACCCTTCTCAGAAGCCTGTTCTTTAGCCTGAAAGCATCCGATGAATCTGTTCAATGCTTGGGTTACTCTGAGCTTTCTCACGTGCCCTATGGCAAGTGCTGTGAGCACCAGAACAGCAACACTTATTACAATAATCTCAACGATGAAGCTAAAAAGCCCCTTTTTAGTGACCGATGCAGGCCCACTGTCAACACTTCCTCCAAAGCCAAAAAATTCGCAGTAAGGAGGTGCCCAGCCATTGTCACAGTGGCAGTTTCCTCGAGTGTTGCAGATGCCTTTTCCTCCACACGTTGTCTCAGCGGAACAGCGGGATGTCAAGTGTCTCTCTTGGGGAACACACGTCTGGTTAATGCAGATCTTCTTCTCCCCGCACTGCATGCCGTCCTTAACGATGCCAACATCCAGAACGTCCACCCCCAAGTGGTAGTCTGTGCCCCAACACCAGGTATTGTCCACCAGGGTTTGAATGATGGTTGTGTGATCTTCCATCTTAGGTAGATTTCTAACATTTATACACTGCATCCTCCCACACAGGACATTTTTGAGCTTACATTTCTGAAAGTCAACATTTGCGCCGTCTCCCCTGCAATTGCCAAACCGATCCCCTTTCATGTTCACCTCCTGGAAACACGGTAGTGGAGCAGGCCTTGCTTCCTTGCCAAAGATACTCATACACTGTAGCGTGCGGGATTGGCATTTGCCTGCATAACAGTGCCCATCCTCGGCACACACAGTCCCATCTTGCTTGGCCACATCTGCTGGGCAATGCGCAGATACCCCGTTGCAATACTCAGGCAAATCACACAGACCAGCGCTCTTCCTACACACGTGTCCTTCTGGAAGAGGCCTGCAATTCTTACAGCAGCCTCCAGTAGTGCAAATGGCTCCTTTTTTTTGGTGACAGGTATCGTCACAACAATGGTCCAATTTACACTGTAATTCCGAGCCGCAGTCGCACTCTTCCCCAATGTCCACGATGCCGTTCCCACAGCGCCGCAGTGCAAATGTCTTTATCGATTCTGGGGCGTTAATAAGGCAGAATCCTCGGCCTGACGCTATAAAATCAAAATACTGCTTTTTGCTGCAGTTGCTGAATTGATAGTTCACCGTGCCGTTGGTGCTCATGATGCATTTCGACGTGTTGCCACATCTGCAGTACCTGTCGTTGTACTCCATGCCAAGGGCATACCCTAACGCACGAGCGACATGGATGGCCGTCTCCATGTAAGGCTGTTTTGCAAACGATACGACCGCAGAGGCACGTTTTGTATCACATGCACTGGCAAAGTTGGATTTGTCCCCCATGTGCAACACTCCCGGGCTGTCACTAAAGCTCTTCGAGGCAAAGAGACACCCCATGTCATGCGTAAGGCTTTGCTGCTGCCGCCAAAGGTTGAAATTATGAAGGACCTCGGTAATGTTTTCAGTAACAGCGATTGGGTTCTTCTCTACCCAAACCTCTAGTGCAGTTATCAAAACACGAAGGCGGAAAGAATGAAAGAGCCCGTCCACCAGATTGATTATTTCAATAACTTCCAGTGTCACATTAGTTATACTTCTGCCAAAGGTGTCTAAACCTTCTTTGTCCACCACGACAAGAAGCTCCAAATACCGTGTGTGCTTCTGGGGCTGGAACTGCCTAATTGCTGTACCAGGACCTGGAAATTGTTTGCCTTTCTGGGACATTTTATATATCACTGTTCCAGGAACCACCTCCTCCCTCAGCAACAGAAGATGCTCAGCCGTGGTGGAAGGTGCCAGGGGCTCGATGCTGTAGCTTGAGTTTCTAATCTGCAGCAGTCCTCTGAGCCCAGAGCAGGTAGTCAGGGACACCATGGAGTTTGGGATGCCTTCCACATAGCCATGGTAATAGCAATCCTCTTGCACATGGGGCTGTTCAACCATGATTTCCCCTTGGGAGTCATAAATGAGTACGGGGAAGTTTTTTGTTATGAAGTCTTTCTGCCTGAGATGAATGGTGTAATCTACCCCCTGAACGTTGATGACATAAGACACTACGTCCTGGCCGGCTTTCCCCACGTTGGGGCCAACTTTCCTTGGAATGACTATCTCGTAGGCTGAGTAGCCCCAGGAGGTCTGGGGGCCGCAGTCTGCGCAAGGCAGCAGGAGCCCCCACAGCAGGAAGGAGAGGCCCAGTGCAAGGAGAACCCCATGGCCTGTTGGGCCACACCTTGGCTGTGTCCAGCTTGGAGCCATGGTCAGTGGAGGAAGGAGGGAAAAATGTGGACCATCAGCCATTAGAAAAACCACCTTTAACTCAGCAGCAAAGATCTCTTCTCACCACCAGCGTCCATCCTCTTCTCCCCACTCGGCCTGCAGCCAGGTTCAAACCGCCAGTTCCCTTCATCCAACGTGCCTTTTCTTAGCTCTTCCTTGGCTACCAGTCGACCAGGGAGGTAGGACACCAGCCTGTCATCCAACTGCAACAGAGCAAAGCAGCAGGGAAAGCCCTGGTGCGGGGTGGGAAGCCAGGGGAGAGCTGCTCTTGGGCCTGGAATGGAAGGGCCTGAGGGGCAACCGTTTCTCCAGCCCCACTTCAAACGCAAACATTCCATGGGGATGGTGGGACCCACGCCCCGGGCACATTAAATAGGCCCTGTCTCATGGTGGAGAGCCTGCTGCACCCTGCTTGGGCTGACCCCGTTTGCTGAGAGTGTGAGGAGCCACTGCTGCTGCAGCAATTTGTTTAAAAGGGGATTAAGCCTCCATAAGTGAAGCAATAGAAGATTACCAGGGAAACAATGGCCTGGTTGCCCTGGTGAGACCCTTCAGTGTCTGTCGACAGACATCCTTGCAGGGCTCCTCACACATGTAATATTTTAACTATTTGAGGGGAATTTTCTTGCTGGAAAGAGAGAGGCGTTTTTTGGGCCACCCATCCTTTTATAAGTAGGGGAGAGTCTTTTAATGGGCTACTATAGGATGTAGCAGCTTCTATAGGGTGTTTGCAGCTGGTTTGGCTGCCTTAGATACTCCCAGGATGCTTGGAAATTCTTCTCTCACTCCCTTCCCTAATGCTATGGATGCTCTGAGAGTCACTCCCTATCCAAGATGCTATTAACTCCTCAAAGGTACCAAGCAGATGGATGTTAACTCATACAAAGAAGGTGGCCTGGTGCACAGGGGCACTCACAGCTGTAACTCGTACAAAGAAGGTGGCCTGGTGCACAGGGGCACTCACAGCTGTCCCACTGCCTCTTATTGGGCCACTTTTGTTCTGAAAAGCTCATGTGACAAGGGGTCTACATGGTTGCTGGCAACAAGCCAGTCAAGCCATGCTTGAGGATAATAAAAATATTTCCAGAATCAGGAAGCGTACAAGTGCTAGTCTGTGTTCAGAAGGGCTGACTGCCCAAGAGGCGAGGAGAAGTTCTCCAGGGCTCCCTGAATGACAGCCAACCCCCTTCTCATCTACTGGTGTCTCCCAAAATTGCTGCTCTGGCCACAAGTCCCTGCAGGGCTCCCACTTCAGCCACCTCCAGCGAAGCACAGCGCCCTGCAAGGACTGACATGCTAAAGGTGCTGGTTCCTGCCCCAAAGAGCAAGCTTGGCAGAAGAGAGTTGTTCTGTTTGACAGGTGAAATGTCACTGAACACAGGACAACTCATCTCTCCCCTCTCTGACAGCCCAAAGTCGTAGCTACAAGAAAAATCCTATAGACCTTGGGGGGGGTTAACCTGCGGCACTGGGCATGTGCTGCTGCCATCTAATGGAAAAAAGAAGTTTTAAAGAGGCAATTTCAGATTACGTTGCTAGGCAGAGCACGCAATTTTCTAGGACTTTATCCAGCCTATCCTGCCAGTCGTTCTCTCATCTCAAAGCCTCAGGGCACTCCTGCAAAATAAAAAGCAAAGTGCTTATTCACATTTGCAAGGCAGCGGGGACCAAGGACTGAGCATGACAGGACAGGTCTGGGGGTGGCAGGAGAAGGGCACTGCTGTGCCCCCCAGGCCACAGCCATCCTTCCTTCTACACTACAGGGACTTGGGAACCGAACAAAACCAGCCAGTAACTTTTAAGTTTAGTAAAATCATTTATATACACCGATGCGTAATATTTACAATATAATACTGATCCAAAATAAACTAACGTATTACAGATAACACTGAAAAGGAGAAATGAAAACATTTTAATACACAAGTTAAACATGGCATATGAGGACAGACTCAGATTTCCAAAAGAAAAACCTGAAGTAATGACAGCAAAACTTTGACATGTTGCTATTTCCAATCGAAAACTTTCACCACCTAGTCAAGTTCTTCTAAGTTTTATATATATATATAGCTTAAAATAATCAAGTCACAGGAGAATTCAGATATACATAAAATTTTGAAAAGGTCAAATGATTTCAGATAAAATTCCTAAAAAAAACCCAAAACAACCCAAAACCCTACAGAGCTTTCTCATATCCTTTTAGTGTTTGTACAAAGAATGTCTTCTTTGATCCCACACAACCCTTCCATCTCCAGGTATTTACAATATTCACAGTCTGCTATAAAGGATCAGTAGATTTAATACCGAGTAAAACCTTATATAATCAATACAAGGTCTCTCGCATTTATGTCAAGTGAAAAATAAAAAACACAGGAAGGAGAAAGTAAAATACTACTTTAAAATATGTAAATAAACCCATTAAAGTGTATTTAATTTTGAAATCTAAAACATAACTTAACTTTTTAAAGAGTAAAATAATCAACTTTCTCCTAGAAATAAAACCATTTGACCTTGAATCTTCAAATTGTGTTTTCTTAATCTGTCCCTCCCTACCTCCGTTTTGGATCAGGCCATTCTCACTCATCACAGACAATAAAATCTATAGTAAATCCATAAAAAGCTAGTTCCTTACTCACAAAAGCCTTTAGAAATTTGACTTCCCTCCAGATACTTCGCAGTCAGTCGCTGATAGACCCACCTCACTCTCAGTAACAGCTTGGAATTATTCCATCGTGTAAGTTAAAGGAGGATGAAGAGAGGAGGGTCCCTCTAATGAAGTCAGATCCCATTTTCTCTGCTTATTTCTGAGTGGCCCTGGATGTCAGCGAGCAGCAGTTGCTCTTGCACCCCAAGGGGCTCCCAAATGAACCAAACACACACTGGGAACTGTGGAAACAAGCTGAAGCCATTCCTAGAGAGAGTTACACAGCAGCAGACAAACCTCACTACTCTCATCCTTAACACTAGAGCAACCACCCCGTGGTTGCTCACAAGGTTCCTGGATGGTATCAGGCCATGGCGTGGCAGTCATCCCTTCCCCCATGAGAGTAGCTACCATCTGATCCAGTTTTCTACTAAGAAGTTCTGGCTCCCAAGAAACTGCCCCAGTATCTTCCTCCTTGGAGGGCAGAGTGGCAAAATGCTTTTGTGGGGGGATTTTTTTTGCACTCCCATTCAAACAAAGGTGATTTCCTTGTTTATTTCTCTATTTGCCACCCTTAAAGGTTCCAAAACAATGAGATTTCCCAGAAGAAAAACCCTTGGATTTCAAGTTAAAAAGGGAATTATCTATCACACTTAAAGACTGTGTGGATGTTGACATGACCTAGAATTTTGAGCAAGGACAGAAATGCATATAATAAGCCCTGCAAACTTGCTGATACGACCAAGAAATTATAAATACTCCTGTCTCTTGCTAAATCTCCACAGTTGTCATCGATACATGTCAGTGCACAAATATTCCATGTAGTGTCAGAGGTACAACTCCAGCTTGCACAAAAACCTCCCTGTTCCCATCAGAGGAAGCGATGGATAAGGAGGGACTGTGGTTCTTACTCTGCTATAAATCAGGCATTGGAAAACTGTCAACAGGATTAAAAGCAAGCTGACACGGTGCTGATGAAGAATGGGAAATGAAGTATCTCCTTCATGTAGAAAAACTAAGTCACTGCTTACAAAATTTTATAGAAAGAGTCAGACACTGGTTTGCCATCATCCAAGCTAAAGGTTGCAAGGAAGTCTGGTATAGAAAAAAAGACAAAAAAAGAACAAGGCTGGACTGCCAAAAGAGTGAATTTGGAGATTCATGGCTCAGGTTTGTAAATGTAAACCCAAAATTAATGAGCTATGAAATATAACAATAATGATCAAGAGTCATTACTAATAGCCCTGAATTGGCACTTCAGTCTGCAGACCAAACTCATTCAACGTCTGCACAGGTTTAGTACCAAAATATCTCTATAAAAAGCCTTCAACCAGTCTCAAAAGAAAGAAAAGCGTCAGAAGGTAGAAAACTAGAAATATGTACAGATTCTTTTCATTTGTTTGTTTACTTAAAATTAAAAAAAAAGCAGCTTTTGGAGCCAATGTTCCAGACTAGTGTAAGAATCTGCCCTGGGCAGCCTGATGGTCCAGGCAGCATAAGGACATGTGTCAAGGAGCAGCCCTGCGTCTGTTGCTCCCCAAGGAGGAGCTCGAAGGCATCGAAGAGATGGGGAGCTTGGACTCCAGAGGGTGACACAAGAGAAGGATCACCAGTGGATTCACACAGCAGCACTATGACCCTTGCCAGGATGATCTCTTTCAAACAAGAGGACAAGTTTGAAACCAAATGTTGGATCTTCTAGAAAGGAAAGAAGGGAGTACATGGGGGGAACACACACAACTGCTGATCTGAGGTCAAAGCAATCAGACCCCACACCTATTTTGTGGAGTCCGTAGAAGATCCCACCATGAAAATAAAAATAACTTGTACATAAGTAACTAGAACATTCTTCTATTCTGCTGTTGAACAATATGATAAAAAGAAGAGTCGTAATGCTGAATGGCCAATTCAGCCTTAAAAAAGGTCTGAGGAAGATGGGGAAGAAGAAAGAAGGCTCAGTCTTAATGAAGATCTGAGGAAGATGGAGAAGAAATAAAAACAGAGGGCTACTGATTTGAACTGAAAAATACAGCAAGCACATGGACTCGGGTGCCCTTGGCAAGGCCAAGCGTGGCTCTCGGGTCATCTAGTGAAACTGAAGGCTATTGAGTTGCCTCTACATAAAGATTGGGAATTTAGGCGCAAAGGGTAGCTATGAAGTGTGTGTTTCACAGCACTTGCTTCAAGTACTTACTGAGCAGGGTGTTGGGGGAACTGTGGCTGTCTTGTTCGCATACATAGTCATTGCAGCTGGCTGTATGTATAGCAGATGGAAGGCAGCTTCTGCAACTGGTTATTAAGAAAAAGAATGGTCTTTAACAATATAATTTGCCCCATCTGGGGGACTCATGATTAACAGTACATAAGTGATCATATATACCTCAAGGAACTGAGTTTTAAAAAAATATTACAGTACCAATGATTTTTTTTTTTTTTTTATCTACAACTATACAGCATTTTCAAGCAGTATGGAAATTTAATGAAATAATTATGATTTATTAATTTACATAAAAATACTTTTTACAGTTAAAGAATAAATCTTAAATGGTAAAAAAAATAAGATTAAGAAGCTCCAGCTATTGAGAGTCATGGGAGTTTGTCTGCTCTTCAATAACTTGTTTTACTATTTCTGCCAGTTTTAGTCGATCCACTTTATCTGTGAATCCTCTGCCTGAAAAGAGAAGAATCAGTAGTCAACTGGGCACAAGGAGGAAAGCAATCACAGCTAGAGCCATACACTGACCAAATACAAAACAATGTGTAGGAAACATAGGACAACATTTACAAGGGAACCAAAATGAGTTATGATCTCTAGTTCCACTGAAAACAAATTAAGCATTTAAGAACCTAAATTAAAAACAACCGAAAAACAGAATGAGGGAAGAGGCACAGCCAAGCCCTTGTGAACGTGGCTGATGCCCCTGGTCCCCTTATATTTATTAGCATCTGCTCCTGGGGGCTGACTCCTCTGCCACCCTGTTTTGTCCAGGAGCCATCTGAAGACCCTCACAGCATCTGGCCTGGTTTAATGCCATTTCCAATACAAACTGAGCAGAAGAGATGTTCCACTGACATAGATGAGGGCAGCAGCCTCCAGCAGAAAGAGAGTAACAAACAGCTGGAAGGAAACCAGCTCAAAACAGCTACAGCGCTTTCTAAGGTGGGGCTCCATCTGTGCTGTTATGTTCCTCCATCACTCGGTGCCTTTGAAAACTCTATCCTGAACCTCAAATAGAAATTTTAAGCCAAACTTTTAACCTCATTTCTAAAGCACCCACACTGGAAGATGGGCTTAAACAGTGTCAAAGCCTAAATCAGCCTAACACAAACTGAAGAAGTGTTTTTATTTCCATACAAGAAGGTCACTGCTTCCCCTCTTTCACCCAGCATTAGCACCATTCTCCATGGAAGAGAAAGAGTTCCTCACCATTCCAGCTGAAGCTCTGAAGAGTGTCTCGCAGCAACTTACACTCTCTGTTATACTTCCACGCCTCCTGCATCACTTCATTCAACTTCTCATCTTCATTCTCTCCTATTTAGGAGAACAAAGATAAAGAGGAGGTTTGTCATTTGCCTTCCAGCAACACTCAGAGCTTCAGTAAACAGTACGAGCAGTTACTCCCCTGCACCTCATGCAAACTAGGAAATCTGTTTGAGAGCACCCCAAATAGATATTTTAAGCCAAACTTTTAACCTCATTTCTAAAGCACCCACACTGGAAGATGGGCTTAAACAGTGTCAAAGCCTAAATCAGCCTGACACGAACTCAAAAAGTGTGGTTTTATTTCCATATAAGAAGGTCACTGCTTCCCCTCTTTCACCTGGCATTAGCACCATTCTCCGTGGAAGAGAAAGAGTTCCTCACCATTCCAGCTGAAGCTCTGAAGAGTGTCTCGCAGCAACTTACACTCTCTGTTATACTTCCACGCCTCCTGCATCACTTCATTCAACTTCTCATCTTCATTCTCTCCTATTTAGGAGAACAAAGATAAAGAGGAGGTTTGTCATTTGCCTTCCAGCAACACTCAGAGCTTCAGTAAACAGTACGAGCAGTTACTCCCCTGCACCTCATGCAAACTAGGAAATCTGTTTGAGAGCAGACACTCCTGTTCAAAATCTATTTTAACAGCTCTGCGCGTCACTGCTGACACTAATATTAGGCATGCACCAACATTAATTACAGCCCACAGACAACACTTTTCCTCTCGAGAGTGACTAGGACAACAGCTTTCTTTGTCCTTCCTCACTGCTGACTGACATGGACTGATCTCGAGGCACAGTACAAAGTCAGTGCCTTGCACGTTTAGGAATGTAACTTTCTTAAAAGTGGCAACCTTTACCAGCCTGTGGTAGAATGCACTGAGCAATCACATCTCTGAGCTTTTCCAGAGCCACGTTGGAATCGTTACTTCCGTTCTCGGGGTCATGGATATAAACACCATCCTTCGGCTTAGTGCTGCAGAAGAACAAGGAGGAGACAATTACAATTTGAATGCAACTCGAGTCCATTACTCGCTGCAGAACTGCATCAGTATAACCCTTTCCCTCACTCTCTGGAAAGCTGGGACTGGGAGCTAGATTTAGCATTAATTATAACAATGTCCTGCATTACGAGACCGCTTCAAATATGAAGAAAAAAATATTCCTTTGAATTAATTCAAGCAAGGGTAATCCCAAAATGCATATATTTTTCAGATAGGTAACTTGAACAAAAAGAGACAGAGAGATGACCTGAATTTTTCAGTGAATAGATGTCAGGATCAGAAAGAAATACTAGAATTCTTTCTCCCAGTTTGCCCTACCTTACTCAACGCATGACCCATCTTCTCATAACAGACCTGTTCCACTACCTGTATAATATAATACTGTCCAGTCTTCTTCCTGCCCTCAACGGCACATTGGAAGGCACAACACATTATGCAAGTATTACTTGACTCCATCTACCCACTTCAGCATCAAGAGCGTGTCAACCAAATCAGAAATTCAGGAGCACAGTTACAATCAGATGAATTTTTAACATGCTCTAAGTCACTCTCCCTGCATCATGGCTGCCTACACTTTTATCTTTCAGAAACAGCTTTAGAGTTACCCCAGTAATTTCCTTTTGCGCAGGATTGGGTTGTTGACGGAGTGAAGGGGTTTGAGACTGACTTTGAGGTCCTGGATTCTCATGTTCGCAAGCTGTTCTGCATGAGCCTGTTGTATCCCTGCAACCATTGCCTGGAATGAAAAAGAGTTGCACTTGATGTTTTAACTAGCTTCACATGAAGCAAAGAACAACATATGGCCAATGTTAGCCATAGATTAAAAAAAAGAGATGACCCAAAATCCTATTTTTTTCAGAGATGCGTAACAAAAAATCAGGTTTGCATTATGCAAGACACAACTGTCACTAATACTATAGTCATTGACTGTGGGACAATATATCCCGACCTCACGGGGGCTGAACAGGACAAAGGATCATCTCTACCATGTGAAAGAAAGAGCTATCCAGCTCTCCTAAGCAACGCTCTTGATAAAATGAAATGTTGTTTAGACCTTGTCCATCATCAGCTGGGCAGAGGGTAGGATGTTATCAAGTGCCTCGGTGGAGTTGAGCCAGGGATGGTCCAGCACACCTTCAATGGTCAGCCGTTCCTCAGGTTTGACCTTCAGTAGCCTGGGAGAGGAATCAATCAGTCCATAAAGAGAGCTTTGCTGAATTACAGGGTGGTGCTCTGTCTGGGGTCAGAGCACTTAACAATCTTTAAGCATTAGAGGGGCCAAAAAAGAAATTCCTCCTAACAACTAAAACACTGTGCTGACCCAAAGGCAGTCTGACTTTCTACCAGCTTCCCCGACCCTTGCTGCAGTGATATTTTAACACTACCACAGCTCATTCAGTTACATTCAGCAACTCAGTGTAAAAGAAAGGTGCTGACAGCCATTTTAGTAACGTTTGTGTTCTGCTGAACTCTACATTCACCTCCTCCCAGGTGGGAAATTATTTTCCAGATGGACTGGAAAGGATCCAGACCAACACTCTCTGGAAATGCACATCTAGAGCCCATGCATATAACAGTCTATGCTCAAAACAAGGACTCTGGGCACGGTGAAGAAAGGCAAAGTTGCAAAGTTGGAAACCTGTTTGCTGAATTAACTGCTTTCACCATGCAACTCCTTAGCTTTTCTCCCCCAGAAAAAGCCTCAAGTAATGGACACTTTGGCAGCCTACAGCACCTCAAAATAAAAAGGAACTTTATTCTGAGTTATCTGAACACTCCATGGAATTAAATTTTACTAGAATGAAACCCTGGAAAGAGATTTCACAGAGAAAACTCATCTTCTCATGATAATCACAACTCTTTAATAAAAAAGTAAAATCTTGCACAAAGTGCTGACAAGTTATCCCAAGAGTCTAATTTAGAAATAGAATGACTTGATGAGTTTCTCACACTTTCTTAGACAATACTTTAAATCAGCTTCCTGGCTGCAAAGCAGAATTGTTTAATGTACCAAGAAAGTGGAAATAACTCTTACAAACTGTCAGCAGGACCACAGGCTAGCTCATAAATTTCACTTGCAAGGCCACGCTGCCAAACGGGCGAGTTCAATTTTGATCCTAGACCCAAGATCCACGCATTCCTTTTCCATAGGTTTTCAAAGTCCTACCCTATTATCAAGCACCGCAGCTCATAAAGCTTGAGGTCAGGAATCAGCTCGACACGCTTGAAAGGAAGCAGCTGCTTGAATGCAAAATATGACCTCCAGAAGCAAGACTCCATATGAATAGCTGTCTACATATATAAAATGTAAACTTATCCAGAATTCTATAAAGCCTAAGTGTATTCCTGCACCATAAACACAGATTCAGACTCACTGGCTGGGAAAGACAGGCAGGAAAGGGAGTCCTGACAACATTAATCAGAGAACTAAGTGAAGTGAACTGAATCCAAGTAACAACATTCTGCGAGCTGAATTTCACGGCCATTTTAAAAGACAACAAAATCTTTTGGCTGTGAAGCTTCTGAGTGAGCATAAAGAGTTGACCTTGGTATAAGCAGAAGTTTCACTGCAACATAATCTGCAGTTTATTTGGTGAAAGGTTGTGGGCTCTCCTGCACTGCTATAAACAGGCCCCCACACCCTCTCCAAACAACGTTAAGCTCTTGGAGATTTTACAGTATGTCAGAGGAGACAGTGACAATTTAAAATTATTTAACTGATTGATTTTTTTTTCTATTTATGTTGCTTTTACTCTTCCAGCTCCTCTGGTGATATAACCCATGGCAGTAAGTCCCTCTCACATTTTAAAAAAATAAGTGAGGTCAAGACCTAGTCAGTGCCACATTCTTGCTTTCAGACAGGACCACGAGATCAGAGTCTTTGAAACATTTGCAATTGAGAGATGTGCTCTGCATGAAAAACAGTTTCCATTAGCATTTAGAATAAAATATCATCAGAGATGCGTAACAAAAATCAGGTTTCCATTATGCAAGACACGATTGTCACTACTACTACAGTCATTGACTGTGGGACAATATATCCCGACCTCACAGGGGCTGAACAGAACAGGATCATCTCTACCACGTGAAAGAAAGGGCTATCCAGCTCTCCTAAGCAACGCTCTTGAGGGGGCTGAACAGGACAAAGGATCATCTCTACCATGTGAAAGAAAGAGCTATCCAGCTCTCCTAAGCAACGCTCTTGATAAAATGAAATGTTGTTTAGACCTTGTCCATCATCAGCTGGGCAGAGGGTAGGATGTTATCAAGTGCCTCGGTGGAGTTGAGCCAGGGATGGTCCAGCACACCTTCAATGGTCAGCCGTTCCTCAGGTTTGACCTTCAGTAGCCTGGGAGAGGAATCAATCAGTCCATAAAGAGAGCTTTGCTGAATTACAGGGTGGTGCTCTGTCTGGGGTCAGAGCACTTAACAATCTTTAAGCATTAGAGGGGCCAAAAAAGAAATTCCTCCTAACAACTAAAACACTGTGCTGACCCAAAGGCAGTCTGACTTTCTACCAGCTTCCCCGACCCTTGCTGCAGTGATATTTTAACACTACCACAGCTCATTCAGTTACATTCAGCAACTCAGTGTAAAAGAAAGGTGCTGACAGCCATTTTAGTAACGTTTGTGTTCTGCTGAACTCTACATTCACCTCCTCCCAGGTGGGAAATTATTTTCCAGATGGACTGGAAAGGATCCAGACCAACACTCTCTGGAAATGCACATCTAGAGCCCATGCATATAACAGTCTATGCTCAAAACAAGGACTCTGGGCACGGTGAAGAAAGGCAAAGTTGCAAAGTTGGAAACCTGTTTGCTGAATTAACTGCTTTCACCATGCAACTCCTTAGCTTTTCTCCCCCAGAAAAAGCCTCAAGTAATGGACACTTTGGCAGCCTACAGCACCTCAAAATAAAAAGGAACTTTATTCTGAGTTATCTGAACACTCCATGGAATTAAATTTTACTAGAATGAAACCCTGGAAAGAGATTTCACAGAGAAAACTCATCTTCTCATGATAATCACAACTCTTTAATAAAAAAGTAAAATCTTGCACAAAGTGCTGACAAGTTATCCCAAGAGTCTAATTTAGAAATAGAATGACTTGATGAGTTTCTCACACTTTCTTAGACAATACTTTAAATCAGCTTCCTGGCTGCAAAGCAGAATTGTTTAATGTACCAAGAAAGTGGAAATAACTCTTACAAACTGTCAGCAGGACCACAGGCTAGCTCATAAATTTCACTTGCAAGGCCACGCTGCCAAACGGGCGAGTTCAATTTTGATCCTAGACCCAAGATCCACGCATTCCTTTTCCATAGGTTTTCAAAGTCCTACCCTATTATCAAGCACCGCAGCTCATAAAGCTTGAGGTCAGGAATCAGCTCGACACGCTTGAAAGGAAGCAGCTGCTTGAATGCAAAATATGACCTCCAGAAGCAAGACTCCATATGAATAGCTGTCTACATATATAAAATGTAAACTTATCCAGAATTCTATAAAGCCTAAGTGTATTCCTGCACCATAAACACAGATTCAGACTCACTGGCTGGGAAAGACAGGCAGGAAAGGGAGTCCTGACAACATTAATCAGAGAACTAAGTGAAGTGAACTGAATCCAAGTAACAACATTCTGCGAGCTGAATTTCACGGCCATTTTAAAAGACAACAAAATCTTTTGGCTGTGAAGCTTCTGAGTGAGCATAAAGAGTTGACCTTGGTATAAGCAGAAGTTTCACTGCAACATAATCTGCAGTTTATTTGGTGAAAGGTTGTGGGCTCTCCTGCACTGCTATAAACAGGCCCCCACACCCTCTCCAAACAACGTTAAGCTCTTGGAGATTTTACAGTATGTCAGAGGAGACAGTGACAATTTAAAATTATTTAACTGATTGATTTTTTTTTCTATTTATGTTGCTTTTACTCTTCCAGCTCCTCTGGTGATATAACCCATGGCAGTAAGTCCCTCTCACATTTTAAAAAAATAAGTGAGGTCAAGACCTAGTCAGTGCCACATTCTTGCTTTCAGACAGGACCACGAGATCAGAGTCTTTGAAACATTTGCAATTGAGAGATGTGCTCTGCATGAAAAACAGTTTCCATTAGCATTTAGAATAAAATATCAATGCAAGAGCTTATCTCCTAGTCTGACACCTCGTGACAGATCTTAACCTCCCTTCCCCTGCCTCTCTTGACCCCTTTTAGCCCGTGTTTTATGTGCAGAGGGTTTTAAGGGACAGATCTCCCAGATCCTATTACACCATCTAAATTCCTCCCAATTTTAATAGGAGTTTAAACATTTTCATAGAAGATGTGTGCCTAGAGAGCACTTGCAGACATGGCAGCCAGTTGTCTATATTGCTCTGCAGCAAGGCAGTGCACCCCTTCCCCCTTAAAGACTAAATGCACTCTAGCAACTTCAGAAACAGGAGACATCAAAAATCGAACATAACAGTCAGGGAAGGGAAAAAAAAAAAAAAAATATTTACCAGACTTCATTTATGCTGAATACAATAGAAAATTTTTCAGCTGCATGTGCTGCAGACAATTCCCCCCACTTTTGGAAAAATAAGGCCTTTTGTGATAATGCACTTTCAAGCAACTTTCCAATTTCTTAATACAAGCAAAGAGCGATATAACATTTTCCTCAACTGACTCACTTTCGCACAATGTCTTTCGCCATTTCTGAGATCTGGCTCCACTCTTCCTCTGGAAATTCAAAGCTTCCTGTCATGATCTTTTTCCGCATGTCCTTTGGAATTGTCCGACTATGGTGTTTGGAGTAAAACGGAGGGTATCCACACAGCATCACGTAAATAATGACACCCAGGGACCACAAGTCACAGCTCTGAAAGCAAGGAAATGATCACTTTGGGGCGCAATTTGCAGCAAGCAGTGGTGTAGCCATGTTAAAAGTTCTACGTGGTTGCCTAAGAAAACAGAAACATAGCTCAGCCTTCTCCTAAAGGCCCATCTAGAGACCTTCACGGATAAATATGGCAAATATGTAAGCACAAGATAACTCCATGCTGCCAAGCTGAACTATTTCAAATAGTCGCTTGTTTACAGAAAGCTCTCCTGTAACTCCGTGCTCTGCAATGGTGAATTGTACAGGAACAGCCAGTGCATCAGAGGAGTGAGTGATGTGCATTTATTACATCCCTCAGCATATTTGAATTCTCATCTCACAATATCAGAACATAAAACAGAATACAGTCATTGTTTAGAGTCTGAGAGTTAAAAAAAGAAACACCATCAAACAAACGCGCCAGAAGAAATACTTAATCAGAGAGGCATTTAATGAAAAACTCATGTCCTGGAAGCCAAGGAGATAAAGAAGGTTCAGAAAGGCAGGAGCAGTATTTCAGGGCTGCTTACGCTGCACTCCCTCCTGCCCTGCCCTTGCACTGGTGTTAGTGCCTGTGTGATAGGGAACAAGTTTGTTCAGGAGAGATGGATCCAGCCAAAAACCAGCTCTGTAAAGAAGCTGAAAGGCAGCTCCGTTCCCCATCTGGATGTCTCTGCATTCACGCAACACAGACACAACTCTGAAGAAGGGAAGGGGACTGTAACAGCCTAGACTTCAATTCAAGCTTCTGTTGGACCTGTCCATAGGGATACAGCTCTGTTGTCACTTGGTTATGGTATATGAAGGCTAGGGCTGACAGGACCTGCTCTGACCCTGGCTATCCATTCCAAATGTTTCTTTTGTGCTGACCCTAGCATTTGTAAAGCTAATTATTTATTTTTACTGGCTTGGTTTCCAGCCCTATCAGTCCTCCAGGGGACTCCCAAAGGCTGATGCCAGCACAAGGATGGACACAGAGCCAAGTGTAAGCAGAAAGCTGGACTGCAGCCAGGTTCAGGTGACTGTAGAAAGACACAGAAGGGCACATTTGGGAGACAAGGGAGGTTCTGCAATTCGTTTACACAGACAGAAATCTGCATAGCTGTCAACTGAAGCAACCTCAGCACCACCCTGTCTGCATACACCCAGGCTGTATATTCCACCACCTGCTCCAAGACAGCACCAGCGTTCACGAAGCTGCACAGACAAACTCAGCAGAGAGAATCCCTGACCCCAATAACTGTTTTTTGACTGTATAAACACTGACCCAGCAAGGGCTTCCTCAAAGGTGAGACTATTTCCTTCCACAGGGAATACACTTCGATCAGCTCATACTGATCATTAAATCATACCCTTGGCTTTTGGCTTCTACAAAAGACGTGGATGCTGGTAACAAACTCCAAGGATTTGCCTCACGTATGTATGCTTTTCAGCAAGTTGTTTAAGCCAATCTCAGATGGTTCTAGAAATCTAAACTTCTATTTAGTTATCTAAATTCTCATAATTTTTCCAGTGACTGGAGATAAAGTCCCATTGATTTCATTAGAAATTAGGTATCCAAGTAGGAAAAAGGTGTCTAAATTCTTCATGGATATGGTTCCCAGATTCTGCTTCTCAGGAGTCAAGCCCTCTCCAGCCACGACCTACATGCTTACAGTTGATCCAATATACACGCAGCTTAATAAAAGCACTCAGGGAATAAAAAATGTGGTTTTTCCTCCAATTTACATCTCTCCAGCCACAACCTATGTGCTTACAGTTGATCCAATACACACGCAGCTTAATAAAAGTACTCAGGGAATCAAAAATGTGGTTTTTCCTCCAATTTACATCTGTGGGATAGAGCTGCCGTTCATGAAGGTGGAGGATCACAGGCTTTTCCACTCAGGCTCTGGAGTGCAGTGGAAGGACAGTGTACCTGCGAGTTTATCACAGACTATTTTGGGGAATCAGGAGTATGCCAGATGCTGCTTTTGCAGTGAGTCACACTTGGCAAGGTAAGGACGAAGCTGCTTCTTCCAGCAGCCTTTCCAGTTAGTACCACCATGACTGAAAGCGGTTTGGAGTGACCGATCAGCTCATTAAATGAAACATGAAAACAATATCTCTGTATCACACTAAATCCAAGAAGAACAAGGCAGCTGAACCTTGTTGGCATGCGCGTTAACTCCAGTTGGTATCTGTTTTCAAGGTTCTTCCATTCTACCCTCCTACAACAAAGGAGAGGGAAGTCCCTTGCAGGGGGCTGTTACTGGAGAGTAAATCTGCTTCAGTCCACAGAATTGGAGTTCTTGAGCATTGTGAGACTTTCAAAATTTATAAAAAGCACCCTTAGGTGATAAACTGTGTCTAAAGACTACTTCTACAGCAGAGACACCAAGGGGTAGGGGTGGGGAAGATGCTGTGCTTTAAAGATACTGACTTGTGGACTGTTTCATAGCTTACCTTGTTATAAGTGTAAGGTGTTGGAGAGGTGGGGATAATACCAGATTTTTCTTTCTGATGTCGTCTTTGTGCCTCCAATACCTGTTGCCATGAGAGAGGGGGGAAAAAAAAAAGCAAAATATATCTCATTTACAGATACCACAAACAGCAATATCTATGCAAAAGATGCCTGATGCTTTTCCATTCAGTGGGCTTTGCCAAACTCAGACTAGTCTTCCTAACTTTCTACACGGGGGAAAATTTCAGCTAAACCATTTTGCTGCTTTGGATGAAAACTCCCAGTTTGCCTGAATTAAATCAACAGCTCATGATGTCCCTTTTTGCCTCTCCCATGAGCAAATCAAATCAAATTTATCCCTCGCTGATCAAATCCGTCTTTCTGGGTTATTACAAAAATCACAGTTTAAGTGTGCTCAGGAAAAGCTTTTTATGGGGTTGGTAGTTTTACTTGTTTTAAAAAAGCCCTGTCTGTAGTGCACATGGCCCTTCAGCAGCAGGCTCCAGTGAAGGAGGCATTTTCAGGGCACTCAGCTGTGGCTGTACAGCCTGATCTCTGCAATTGCTCTTTCTAGTCATTAAAGGCTGCCGACGTGCCCAGTACTGCAATTAAATATCTATCTGCAGTTTTCTTTTAATTTCCTTCAGGACTCCAACACAAAGCACAAAAGGGAGTGGGGAAAGCAGCACTACAAAAAACAGCCTGTCTGTAAATACAAATTATGTCTTAATTCATACTGAGAAGGGGGTCAAGCCAAGGTGAACAGGTCACCCTCTGGCACCACCCTCCTTCCAAGCAATTGCCTTTACAGAACCTTATTGTTTCAGCACAGCCCTTTTAATGTAATCTTGAATGAGCCTGAGATGGAAGAAGGATTGTGAAGCAGTGATTTTTCCAAACCAGACACTTTAATACAGTTCAAGGCCAACCGCCAAAATTCTGGAGCTGTCTCACTGCTGGGAGTCAGGAGGCACCAACAATAAGTCAGTGCTATGAACAGTCTGGGAAGTTTCCTCATGATCTCCTCACTGTGGAAGTCCACCTTGAAAGGTGGCTACTATACTCAAGATTCCTGCACCCAGAAGCCCTTAACAGGACAGCAAAGGCTTCTGAAAAGATGTGGTTATGGAAGCACTGGCAATAAAGATCATTATTCCCCTTCAGCCTATAACTATAAAAATTTATTACCTGAGGTGCTACGTAATAGGGAGTGAACTGTGGTGTCATCAAGTCACCTTGGTCTACTTTGGCAAATCCAAAGTCACACAACTTAACAGGCGCATCCTAAAACAAGGAGAAGAGGTTTCGTTTCAAAATCTCATTGTATCAGGTTTTCTAACACATCCTCCTTGCCTTGTACTCATCTTACCTTCACCACACGTATTCTTCTTTTGTATTTATACCCTTACCGTTCCACAAAGCAGCTAAAAAGGTCAGAAAGTGAACTTTGAAACAGTAAGTTTTGTTTTCCTGGGTGCTCTGGGTCAAAAGCAGTCCACCTCTAAGCTCTGGAAAGCCCTAAGTGCATTGTAGGGAGGTCACTGAATATACAGGGTGGTTAGGAGCAGAAGAAGAAAGAAACATGCAAGTGCTATGGATATGTCGGTCAAGAACCTGTACTGCATGTTAAAACATGCTGACGACATATGGGGAGGAAATGGGACAGGATTCTGTGTCAAGGTGGAGACCCTGACCCATATTTACTGCAGCAACATGGACAGCCTGTAGTCCAAGCAGATCAGAGTATAGAAAAGCACAAACCCGAAAAAAGTCATTCATTTTTGTCACCAAAACATTGCATTGATGTCATTTTACAACTATTCTGAAAATCATCACTGGGCCATTTTACAGAATTCAGCAGTAATCCAAGAATACCAAGTCTTCATCTTACCAGAGAGTTATCCTTGAAGAGGAGGTTCTCAGGCTTGAGGTCTCTATGTGCAATGTTTAGTGAGTGGCAATGCTGCAAAGCCAAAGCTATCTGAAAAAGGGCACAATAAATCAACTACAATTACAGAACTCCTCCTTTAGTCAGGACAGTTACATTCACTTTAAAAAGGATGTTGCCAACAGAGCTTAGACCCCAAACATTTCCAAACCACGTAGGTAGAATTCTGAGTTACAAGCCAGGCCGCACTCAGCAGTAGTGCAGTAAAGCGCCCATCAGGAAATGAAACCCACCAAACTATTCAGTCTTCTTTTCACTCAAGACAAAGAGAAAATAAAAGCTAAGTTGTACTGGGCTTCCCAACCATCTTAGTTTGACTAACTCGGGGCATTATTAACGCCTCCAGAAGTGAAACAGATCATGACAGCGTTCCTTTCACACTCCGTGCTAGGCCTACAGGGTAACTCAACCTGCTTGCACGTGCTGCAGCAATTACGTTCTGTTTAGCAGTCAAGAGCGAGTTCTTGCTTCAATATTTCAGTGAGTATTTTATTGCATTTTTTACTGACTTGAGAGTCAACGTTCAGGCAGTTTTATTCTTTAATTCCTGGTGGTACCGTCTGTAATTTACTCATTTCTTATGATACTACACAGAAATGCGTTACTTGATTCTTTCAAAGGCAGCTTCTTACACTGCTGTGGTTTAGAAACCCGTAAAGCAGTCAGGAAGGTTCAGACTGTACATTCGAAAGTGCAATTCATTTAAAGAAAACCAAAGCATGACTACATACAGTGTTACTAGAACAAAAGTAAGGCAAAGCCACATAACTCTTATTTGAAAGTATTCCCACTGGCCTCTGTAGGATCCTACCCAAACCCTGCCCTGGGTGAAGCACCGAGCCCTTACAAGGTGCAAATTAGTGTGACAAGAGAATTTCAGTGTTAACTTAGCTCAGAAACAAATACAAACACATTCCCAGATAAAACGAGGTAGCTTTTGTGACAACTACTACTGGGTACAAGGAACCAAGACCCTTAGTTCAAGGCAGCGATGAAGAACCACCAGATGGAAGATTAAGGCTTTAGCATTGCTTTCAAAGTTCATCTCTGTAAACATTAGAGAGTTACTTGGGACACAAATAACCTAAGTGTACACGAAGTCAGGATTCAATTCAAAGCCTTGTCTTTGGTATAGTTTCAAAAGACTTCCCTAACATGTTAGTCCTGGAGACTGCCTTGCATTGACAAAAAACAAATGGCCCAAAGGACATGAAAACAAACCATCAAGAATAATTCTGTGCTTCTACCTAACTCCTTTGCTGGATGAAGCTAAAAAGGTAACAACAGAATCCCCATTTCATTAGAAACAAGTCAAAACACAATACAAATAATTAAGATTCAATAATTTGGCCCTCTCTTTTGCCTCAGTACCAAACACTATGCCTCCAGCTCCAGGGGAAGCAAGTGAGCAGGATACTGATCTATTCATAAAGTCATGTCAATCTGCAACAAATGCTGTAACATCTTGTCTCATGGTTTTTCTCCTTTATTCACTGCAGTGATCACTGGTGTGAGAGCAGGACATTTACTGATTAGTATCTCCAGCACAGCCTCTCACCTAGTTTGTGTATCTTTTGTTTGGAATGCTAATATAACCTCTGCAAGAAGCAAACAAAGGCAATTCTGGCCTTGGCTTCATGCCATGGTGCCAATTCCCATGCAGAAGAGCTCGGCTACTTTTACAGCAAGGTTCTTCTGGGCTGTGGTTCCCTAGCTGGAACCTGCTGGACCAGTGCTGTGGCTCCCTAGAAAGGCCATCCCAAAATACAGCCCTATCCTCTTTCCTGCAACCTCCCCATTAATCCAAGCTTTCTGACTGGGCACCACAAGTCATCTAACAGCTTGAAAGTCAAACGGAATGAGTTCACCCCAGAACTGAGAGGAACTGACACCGAGGATCCCCTCACTGGATCCCATGGAGATCCTTTCTGCTTCATCATCCTGCCTACTCCAGCAGGATAGAAGCTGCCCACACCAGATGCACTGCTAAGCAACAAAGAGTCTGATGGACACCAAAACCTCTAGAAATAAATACTGTGAAGGCCATAAAACACAACATTCAAGACTTAGTTGGCTAGAGAAATGGAGAGGGAAAAATGACATCAGAACAAACAGCACAGAAAACATGCACTACAGTGGTACATTCCTCTCGTTATCTTCCACGATAGGCAGGACTTTCATTAAACCAGATAAAGAACCCAGCTTGAAAATCACTGGTCCAGGACACATGTAGGTTATTGTCTGCCACCCAGCCCAAGAGGTGAGAGAAACACCAAGTCTGTGTCGTGGCCAAGAGTGACTCCCAAACCAGAGCTCAGGAGCCACGCGTGGTCTGGTGAGAGCCTGGGGGTTGTTGGAGGTAACACTTTTAGAACAACAGTGAGGGATGCAGCAGGAAGATCGTGAAAAAAATAAATAAAAAGTGATGTGTTCTGTAGACCAGGTTAGGAAAACCATCACTAAGGACAGCAGAGACACCAGGGTCCCAACCCAGAACTAGCCCACACCTTCCAATTCTTTGCTTCTATTACAAAACTTCGGCATTGTCAGGTTATAACAAAGCAGGCAATGATCATTGGATCAGAACTGAGGATTATTTTAGCTTCCTTTTTTCCCACCCCCCCACCCCAAGGAATTGTTAAATACTTTAGCCATTGTCATTCATGGATTTGCTTATAGATGGGTGTTGACTTGCCTGCTTTGTTACTTGGCTTGCTTGCTTCTCAGTAAAGTGCCGGTGCTGGCTGATTCTGTGAAATAGCTCTCCCCCTTCCATCATCTCCATTACAATTAGGAGCCGAGCCCTGTTCAAAAGCATTTCATTTTGTTATATTAAAAATAATAAAAAAATAACAGAATTGCTAAGCTAATAATGCATTCTTCTTATCTAGTGATGCAGGCCAGAAGAGAGACATATACTTGTATCTTCTACCGTTGCTCTAGCTATTTTGGTTCCGTAATTTTGCCTTTAAGCACGTAAACTGCAGGATTTTCTGGCTCCCAGCACAATCTGACTCGCTGATTGTCAGCCAGGAATCTACTGTTTGTTCTTCACCTTGGGCTCCCCCATCCAGCTGGAACAAACACTGTGGACATGTCTGCATGGATGCATTCAGACAGACGCATGAAAGCTCCACCCACGCTTTCCACCAAGCCCGTTTGGACCTGGAAGCCATTTAGGCACATCAATGTATAACTCTGCCCTCAAAGAATAATAGAGCAGGTAGAGGCTTGCATTCATGAAACAGGCAGAACAGCTTCCAGGCTGGAGCTGGCTCAGAGCACAGCGTGCACTGGCCTCCACCCATCCCTGCAGACGTGCCCTTCTGCCCAGGCACTATAGATGTTCGTGGAAACTTCGAAGCAGAAGGTTGAGGAATTATCTTTAATGCTTTTGAGTTTGGATACTCTACTGTACCTCACTATTTTAATTTATTGACATAATTATGAAGGACAATGAATAGGAAGTGTGAAGATCAGGACCCCTAGATCCTCAAGAAACTAACTTATAGTTCTTCCTGCCACACAGCAAAACCAGATACACCAGAGACTCAGCCCGGTCTCAGCTTTTTTTCCTCAACTAATATCCAATTAGAAGATTTTATCCCAAGCAATATTAAATTATAAAAAATATTAACTCTGCTTCATGTTTTGCTGGGTTCATTTTAAGCAGGACAATGTAAAGTTTACAGGGCAGAATCTAGTATTTTTAGAAACAATTCTCTTCCTTTTTTTTTTCCTTTTTTTAATGAAGACTGGTACTCTGAGTTTCCTGGTGGCTCACAGGCATCACCATCAAGTAAAACGATCTCACTACTCGGTAGCAACAAAAGTCACAGCTCCAATCCTGCTTTAACAGTGCTTTGAAAGCAGAAGGAGGCTCCAAGGTTACAATTCAATTTGAGCTAATAAAGCAATATCAAAGCAGGACACCAGCTAGAAGGTAATGTACTCTCTCGGACAATGCAGGTATCACAGACTAAACCAATGAAAAAACCTAAGAAATGAAGATGTATTCAAGACCAGTAGTGAAGGACGCAAATTCGTTGGGCAAAGGTCTTGCATTGACAGGGGAAAAAGCAGGCGTTGCTTAGTCTGGAGTATAAATATCATATCTGGAATACCCTATAAATATTCATTTTGGTCACACTGTGATTAAAAAAAAAAAAGCAAACTCCACTATACCTTGGCCTAAACATGGAAAGCAAGCTGTGGGAATGAATCACCCTATGTAATCTTACCTTGGGCTGGATTCATGTGGGAACTGCACACTGTTAGCATAAACTTCAATAATTTGAACAATATTTGGATGTGTTGCACACATCATGTGCAGACGTACCTTGAAGAGAAGGGAAGAAACGTTACTGTACACAGTGACAGGCACCTGACCCCTTCTGCTCCTCCCTCTGCCCCCAAGACTATGGCACACACGAGCCCCCGTGCTGCCAGCTGTGCTCAGCACTCGTCACATGCCATTTTAATTACTCAATACATAAGAAATGCCTACAAGCGTTTATGAGTGACCAACAGCCATTACTCTGCTTGGACCAAGTAGGACAGAAAGATCATACTTTGCCAACCTACTCGTTACAGACCATAGAAACAAACCCTGCACAGTTCCAGAAAAAGCCCAATCTTTGATCTCTTTGGGTTTTTAAAATAAATTTAAAGCTAGAACTAGCTTTAAAGTAGCAATAGAGATACAATTGAAACCGAAAAATCATGAATAAAAGTTGAAATGCCATAATTTGGCTTCTTTTATGGCCTGAAGGTCTCGCACTCACAACATGTGAAACCTCACCTACTGTTCTGACTTTCTGAATAAGGAATTTTCCCCAATTTAATGCTACCTGGAATGCTAAATCAAGACACGCTTTGTATGTTTTTTGTCCTGGGAATTTTAAATGAGAATTTGCTCAGTAACAAGAAATGGAAGTTGCCTAAACCTTGAGGACAATTAACCCTTCTTTCACTCTCATAACACCTTGCAGGACTGCCCATCATTTTCAATAGTTTGGTACCTTGGCTCTTGCCACCCCCAGTAATTCACAAAGGGTATCAGTGAGCTTATTGAGTTTCTCCTACACAGATAAAGCTGTACCATTTAGAGTGTAAATTGAGAATTCTTGGCAATTCTTAGAGTAGTGACATCGAAATGTGAAATCAGTTCTAAACTATTCATGTTATGTTACATGGGACACAGGGAGAACACCGGCTTCAAAATGCAGCTCTATAAAATCACACTTTTAAATATACAGCTGACACCTACAGCAAACTCAGAGTTAGAAAGACCCTCTGCTTCACCCACCACCTCATCCTCTAGGAGCCAAGCACAGCAAGGCTAGAGGATCAAACCCAAGGAATCTTGCAAGGCAAGACCCGCAGAACACTCTTTTTCATTTATTTTTTTTAAAAACCATTGCAACAATTCACCAAAAGGGCAAGACTTTGCGGTGTGTCAGAAGGCAGACAGTATAAACAGGAACTATACCTCATTTCTAGCTTTTGGACGATCAAGAAGAATTTTCAGTGCAAAGCGTTCTTGAGAGGATTTTTTCACGCAGACTCTAGTATTACAGCAATAAAATTATTCAGTCAGCAAGAATGTTAAAGAGACACTTCAAGCAATTGATCTGTAGTTATGAGGTTGCTCTCCACGTGGGAATGCCCGCAATCTGGAATATACAGGGCACCTGTCACCACGTCCCAGCTTGAAAGCCTCAGTTTTCAGCCTTCCACAACAATCTAACACGTTACAGAACCATCTAACATAAAGTTATATTTTCAGCAAGGCAGAGGAAGTATTTCAGGGCAATGGGCTACTGCAGACAAGCAGAATGCACTCTGACATTCAGCCTGAAGAGATAACTTCTGACGAAAAAACCCAAACCACACAGTGGCAGCCTGAATATCTCCAACAGAGGGTGGAGACTGCAATAAATCAAGCGTTTCTGAATGGAAAGCCTTGTTTTAGCAAGGCCACCAACTGGGCCGCACACGTTTTTTCTCTCTTTCCCCCATTTAACATTAACAATTGAACTGCGTCAGAGGGAAGGGACCCACATATTAACAGGCAGCTCAAAGAATAAAAAACAAAGGGATATTTAAATAAAGATCAGAGGCAACGCAGCAACAGAAAATGAATGAGGAGAAACAATTGCCTGGACAGGAAGATAAATGGTGGCAAAAGACAATCGCCCTGAAACAGAGGCGCAGACATTTGTTTTCCAGCCCTTTTGCAAATTCCTGCTCCCAAAAGGGAGAGTTCTAGTTGAAAAGGGAACATACGTTTCGCTTTACAGAAAGCACCCAGTCCCTGCAGGGGGGTTAGAAATTCACGATGGGCAAGCGTGGTATGAGAGGCAGAGCTCATGGCACTATCTGCTTTGGCCTCACATGATGATGTGAAAAAAAAATAGCTGGTAAAAATAGCCAAGGGCCACACAGCGCTGATGCCCCAAGCGATGGCACCGTAGACGGGAGCAGCGACCTTTGCACCACGCTGACACCGGGAGCAAAAGGACAAAGGTGTCCCAGTAGAATTTTCTGCTGCCACCGTTTCACAACCGAGCCCTGTTCCTGCTTTGCTTTGGGAAGAGGGCAGTGAGAGGGGACAAGGCAGAGAGGTGAGGAGGGTTTTTACCTCAAACATATCCCATAAAGGACAATACCTCACCTGCACACCAGCTACCACCAGTACAGAGACACTTAATTTGTTTATAAAGAGTCTTCCGCGTATCACATCACAATTAAAATGCATACTCACTTCTCCACAGCTAACGAAACAGGCTGAGATTACATGCAAATCCGCAGGTGTATTGTCTTACCTAACAGGACCACTGATCCCAGCTCCCAGCTTCTGAGTCCAGTTAATGTTGTACTCCTCTAAAATGGAGGTTTCCTAGTCCAGAAGGAGCAGGGGGAGGGAAAAGAGAGTTAAAAAAAAAAATTAATTAATTACTACATCCCTTCCAAAAAAAAAAAAAACAGCTCAGCAGACCTGATTTGCAAGATACCTGAGCAGAAAAAGAGCTTGGTTTGCAGTTTTTGCTTCACCTAGGAAAATGAAACATAAATAAAAATGCTCACATAATAATATATCTCAGCATAAAATAATTTCTGTGCAGCTGAGACTGCTCACCCTGGCATTTTGAAATGGGATTATTGAGAACAGTAAAGGGGATCTTACACTTTTAATACAGTAAGTGTATCAAGGGCATTTTTTTTGCCCTCCTGATTCTTAAATCCAGCTTCCTACCTATAAACGATCAATTACAATGGAACACAAAGGCCCAATTTCAGCAATTTTATCTATGTTTCAGTCATACAGTACAATGGGAAACGATTTCGCTGCTTTCTTAGGGTTTTCAAACCTTTGGAACCATTACACTGTGAACTAAACCCTGCCTGACCAGTTTTAGCTTGTCTGATAATGAACCAGGCTTGTGTTTATAATCCTTTTGTCCAAATCCATACCAACGGGCTTCGGTTGTGTTATGACACAGCTTGGGTGCCATCGTGCTTGAACAGGTCACAAGGCGGGATGCGAAGGGAGGCTCGGCGTGCAGCATCTCCACTAACACCACTGCCAGGTGCTGTCACCCAGAGGGTGACCCATGGACAGAGAGGGGCTGCTGGGGGGAAATGTTGTGTGCAAACACAAAGCAAAAAGTGACACGCACCATAAAAACCCTGCTTTTGCTCTTTTATGAGCGTCGCTACCCGCCTTCAGGGTTGTCTTTGAAAAAGCCAGGCTTTCTAATAAATTGCAAGGTGGTAACGGAAGCCAGCTTAAGCAAGGAGGTAAAATACTTCCCAAATACACCCAAAACAGATGGAAGAGTCCACCACTCGCAAAGCAACTTTATTGGGATGAGATTTTCCCCTTCTGTTAACTTGGATTCAAAACACACAGCGTTTCAGGAACCACTCGTGCTACAAACTACGAGCAAACAGAGAACGCTCGTGCTCTCGAGCAAGGTATTGAAAAGGGCAGCCCCAAACCTGGATCATCAGCCTCTGCCACAATAGCCATGGATTAACACCACTGCCAGGCTGGAGCCAGACCTCCAGCCACACGAACTGAAAACAAAGCAAGAGAGGAAAGCTGATATTTAAGGGATTAGGGAGTGCGGAAGATGGATATGAAAGGAAAAATCGCCCTGTAACGCAGTCTGGAGTGGGTATTACATAAATCATAAACGACCAGCGTGAAAGGGGTAAAGGAAAAAGTTGAAGTTAGGTGGAGTTTTTATGAAGGGTTTCAAAAGAAAGGGGAAGAAAAGCGTGGTGGATCACACATGGGCTGTTGGTTTCAAGTAGAAGGACAAAGAAACTTTGTCAGCATTTCAACTAACATTAATTTCACTTGCGAGAAGTGTATTAGGGAACACCTAACTTAATTTTCCTGATATTCAGACACAGAGAACTGAAGGCATCACAGGTGGAATGAAACCACAATTTTAGAAGAGAATTAAGCAAAAAAAGGTTTTTCTGAACTGGGGAGTGCCTCCTCAGCACACGCTTTCAGGATCACGTTCAGAATGAAGCCACAATTTTAGAAGAGAATTAGTAAGCAGAAAAAGGGTTTTTCTGAACTGGGGAGTGCCTCCTCAGCACACGCTTTCAGGATCACGTTTAGTGTTTGAGTTTTGAAGAAAGTCAAACCACTGAACTCAAACGCCGAAGTGCTCTGGAGCAACATTGTGATTGAGTGATAACAATTCTTTGTTGTTTTTTTTTTTTTTTAATAGAGCTTTGAAGTCTGCTGCTCCTGTTCCAAAACCAAAGGGCCTGCCTGGCCCAACACTTACCCAACCCTTTCAACTGCACAGGTTGCTCTAAAAAGAGATTCTGTCTCCACATACAAGCCCTGTCTTGACTAAATGGTTTCTGTTGCCTCCTGCCACTTCTGGGGTGGCACAGAGACTCCCTGCCTCCTTCCAGCTGGATAAGTGAACTGAGAAGCTGATCAGGAATCAGAAAGCCTGGGATCTATGGATCAAATGAAGTGAGAATAGAATCTGATAGTTCTCAACTCCTGACAGACAAGTTCAACAACTACAAATAAGTCCATTTTTAATAAAAATTATATTTCTTTTTTATATTCTGCATAGTTGCCAGTGTTTTAAATAAGAAAGCCAACATTTTTGTTTTCTGCGTTTTTATTTGGATTCCAATCTTCATTCCAAAGCATCTTTACAAGTTAGAAGAAAAAAAGAAAGAATAATCTAGTGATCAAGAAACACTATTCATCGCCTCCTAATGATAGGAAATGCAGAATTTGAGAACTTTGATGTCAATCAATGTACAAAATTGCTTACATCTCCTGGTTCAGAAACAGGAGCTCCAACTCCAGCACCAAGACTGGGTAGCTGCAAATCAACAGGAGTTTATAACATTCAAACAGCATGAAATAGTTAAAATTTACAGATACAAAACTGCACTCTGAAAATATCAAAATCTGTTTAAACTGGTAAGCCTAAACACCTTGCCTCTTCATTTAGATTAACGTGCTGCAGATGCAGGCAGCAGAGGGCACGGTACCCTGTACTTAGCTCCACATCTGGAGAATAAAACCCCTTCCAGTAGCTCTGCTGCACAGCACTGAACTTGTAGACAGGCTGACGGGTCAGCTGGAACTAATCTGCTGCGGCTGGGAACAGAGGAGGCAGAAGAGTGCCAGAGAGAGAGCTTTCAAAAAAAAAAAAAAATCTGCAGTGGTGCAATTTCTTACAGTAAACCTTTTTGGCTCCTACTGTTAAAGGAGCTTTAAACTTCTGATCACTCTTTAAACTTTTCAAGCGGGCAAAGGGAGTAAACTAATTTGAAATTTATTCGATGAGAAAAGTTTCACACAAACTTCAGGAGTTCTCTTCAATAACACAGCTCCCTTCCAGCAAGCTCAGGGTACCTAAAATAACAAGTTAGAGCACCCTCCCAACACAGCTTCTTCTCAGCTTCCACTGAATACCGATAGAAAAAGGTTTGAAAGAAGGTACTTTAAGGATAATGCGTACTCACTGCAGTCAATTAAAAGTATACAGCCTGCTGCTTGGACAAACTCCACACATTCAACAAGTGAAATGCCAACAACCTCCACTGCTCCAAGGCGCAGCCTTTCAACCCCAGCTAGTTTGCCTTCGACAGCGATCGCTATCTTGAATCACAGACCTCAAACCTGCAGATGCAGGTGAAAACCAATCAAACTCGAACAATAACCAATTATTTGAGAAGCAGACAAATCAGCATAAGAGTACTGAATTATAATCTCAATTTAGATAATGCCTACAACCTAAAAGATTCACCTAGAATCTGTTCTCCAGGAGAACCAGGAGGCAGATGCGGGACTGACCTACATTTACACAACTGCTTTGGCTTTTTTGTTTTGCTTTTAACCCCCAAGAGCTCTGATACAGACCTTTACCTTCACAAAAATACTTGAAGAAAACCTTCTTTTTGAAAGCCTTCTGGACAGCTACTTCCCCTGCAACATGCCAAGATTGATAACAAAGTAGGAAGAGACAGTATACAATTCCGATACTTGATTTTGCAGTTTAATTACAAACTGGGGTGTCTGAACACAGTGCTCAGACTTCCTTCTACTTACAAGACTGTGTTCCTACTTTTCTTACATTGATCTCTGCCCTGATGAGCTTTGTAAAGACAAATCCCACCATGGCAGACAGCAGGGCCAAGGAAAGGTGGCAAATGCCAATATACAGGGTCTTTCTTCCTACATCCTTAAGGAACTCATTCATCTTATTAAAAGAAGCAATGATGAAGGCATCCAGACTCTGTGTCAGCAAATGCTTTGCACAAGGTAAAGAGCCTGCAGAAAGTCCTTAAAACATTCTTTTATTGTCACTTTGTCTCAAAAGGGTTTTCCCCAGCTTTTTTGGGAAATCCCCTCAGCCAGGTCAGAGCAGGATTTCACCGGGAAGCGCTAAACTCACACAGTAATCCGCGCTGTAAAAAAAAAAGAAGAAATCCTGAATCTGTTCATCTCCTCTACCACCACTCAAAACACAAACATCCCACACGCCAGATTTGTTTTCATGACAGCATCCGAACAGGAACTCGGGGATGGATTGAGGCGACAGCGCTGCCTCCGCAGCCGGGGACTGTTGTGAGACAGAGACCCCAGCTCTCGGCCGCCCCGAGAAGCCCCGGCTCTGCTCCCCGCGGTCTCAGCGTCTCAACACCCACTCCCCGAGGCCGGATCCCGTGGAAGCCATCTGCCTGCAGCTCCTATTTCCATGCCCGGTGCCTGAAGCTCCACACCGGAGCCCGAGGGCAGCCACGTCCCGCTGCAGGGGCTGAGAGGAACAGAGTCGCAGCCTGAGAAGGGGGGGACCAGGCCCCGCCGAGCCGGGACGCCCTGCCCGGACTGCCCACCTCCCCTCACCGGGCAAGGGACCCGCTGCCTCCTGCCTACCTTGATCATCTTGTCCGTCTCGGGATCCTCCGACATCCTCCCGCGGGGCTACGGGCGGCTGAGGGGGGAGCAGGAGCCGCTGGCCCGTCCCCAGCGAGGGGCAGCGGGGACCGAGGGCCAGCGAGGCAGAAGGGAGGGAGGCGCCGGGGGCGGCGGCGGGGCCGGCCCGGGGGCGCTGGGCCGCGCTAGGCGACGGGCAACCCCGGAGGAGCCTTTGTGCCA